TATAAGGCTGAAGACTTCACATCTTTTGACGGTTGAGAGGGTTTGATGTGAAGAGAGAATATATATATATACCTTTATATATTTATTATTGTAATTATTTTGGAACAGAAACATATTAACTTCATTTATTGTAAATCAATATCACAGCTTACGTATTTTCTCATGCCAGGCTTTAGAAAACAAGTTTATCCATCTTTAGAAAGATTGTTTTGCAAAACATATTTTGAAATACATGGACGGGGCTAAGAAATACAAAATAGAATGGAACAATACTAACGAAGACATGGCAGATTTTTTGGATTCTAGGCGTCTTCAGTTTTGAGAGTCTTTTGCTTCTCCTTTCAGGGTAAAGTGTCTTTGGATATGTGAAGGGTTGCTATGTGTGACAGATATTTGACAATCCCATATGGAACCTGCTGTGCACAACTAGTAGCCACAGAAGGGCTTGATGGGGCTCCGTTTGATAATTCAGGTACTCTCACTACATTTGAATCAGCATCACTGGGTTAACCATTGCCGATGATTTCTAACACAATTTGAAAGGAATATGGCAGAAGGCAGCTAGCCCCCAGTGAGGCCCCTGAATGAAGAATAGGAGATTCAAGCCCAGAGTTCCGCCAAATAGTCACACTCAATCCTGGCAAACTTCATTCCTCTTTTTTCCCATCTTGAGGCCTCAGATTCGTCAGCTGATGCACAGGACATATACCACTTTTTGTATTCCATAGGCTTGCCCCCGAAGCCGTCCAATTATGCTATACCACCGTGGTTCCGTGATGCAGTACGCGGGCAAAGTCAGGTAAAAGCGCTGAATCTTACCTTGACTTGTGTATCGCGCATCGGACATACAATCGGCCTACCTTCGAAATCCGTCCTCGCGCGATGAGGCTGGCAACATCCCTTCCACGGACACATGCCGGCAGATGGCGTTGTGGGAATGTGCGAACGCAGGGAGGCTTGTTACTGCCTACCTCATACCTGTAGACAATTGCAGAGGCGCAGCCCATCTTTGACGAAGGCAGGTTCCGCAACGGGTGGGTGGCCACGGTGTAGTGCAGCTCGTATGATCCGGGGTCAGAAAGGGTGAATGTGTTGATTAAGGCCCTGTAGATGTAATAGGGTCTTGGGTGTTGTTTCCCTGTGTCGATGACAATTGCCTATGAATTATTTCAATTTTGTGAAAGAATACTGCCTCTGCGGTCCATGCAGTTCTGCCCCGGTAGCGAATTGTCCTCCTGAGATGTCTACGACGTGATGGAATTTATTACTACTGTTGTTGGGTAGTTAGAGGTAGTGAGCTGGGAAGGGCCTCGTCGATCCTTTCTGAGTAGGCACTTCCTGTTATTGTGTCTGCAGGCAACCTCTCTTCTAAGCAGTTGAACTTGCTTGCGGGGAGAAAAACCTGATACTTGCGCAGTGAATCGGCAAGCGCAAGATATCTTGGCGCATGGTGGGGTTGACTTCTTTGGTCACAAATCTTTCCCAAACTCGGGAAATTCTTCAGTGGATGTCTCATGTTTATTTTCAGGTGTTCATTTCTCCGATCGGATAAACCGGCGCTGATTCGGGTTTATGCCAATCATTCCGTCGGCCATCAACACGGGCTTTTACGGCGCTCCGAACCCCATAACTTGATTTCGGCTTATTGCTTGAGGGCCTAGACTCGGACGTGTGGATGGCGAAAAATATAAAAATATGGAGTAAAAACAAATTTAGAGAATAGGGATCAAAACCGGTGCTTATCTCCCCATCACCAACAGCATCTAGGACAGAAGGGACTTCTCCGCCTTCTTGAACTCGCTTGCACTGCGAGAGGTGGACTAGCAAAATGGGCTTAAAAGAAGCTCATCCTGCCTGAATAAGATATACAGAGTTCCCCTCTGCGTCTAGGTATGTAGAGTATACTCCGTCCGTAGTACAAAGATAGAACCGCAGCACCAACACCAACACCAGCACCAGCACCATTTTGATTGAGAAAGTCACGCAGTCTTCAGGGGGACGCCAGCCCATGCCAGGAGTCCTCAGAAGCTATTGCTGGTAACATGTGTCTAGTAGGTGTTGACTTCTTCCTTGAGGAAGGAAAGAAGAAATCTCCAGAGAGCAACTAACAGTCGACCCCGTGAGGTCGCTGGCGTCCAGTACCTTAGTTTGTGCAACAGGTCTCAGAAGGTTATCGACAGATAACAGCAACTCACTGACGATCTAAAGACGTCAGCGATTCGGAGCGTCGCTGATGTGGCCAGTTGTTAGACTTGGGGAGAATGAGGTTTGATTCCATTGGAGCCTGTCACTGGAGGGTTGCCCGTGCAGGACGCTCGACTAAGGATGGGAAGGCATCTAATTGCAGGGTGAGTGCTGTGGCTCTCTGACTTTTGTTTGTCCTACACATTTTGCTGTTTCTGTTGTTTGAAGCGAATACTCGCGGACAGAGAGGGTGATCTGAAGAAATATGAGTTAATCACTGTTTGAGCTGTCAATTTATTGACTGACTGGTGCCACTCTTTTTTTCCAGTTTGGCATTTCGTCTTGTTTGCCATTATTCCTCAGAGTATGCTTTTATTGGGGAATCAATCATCTGGACCCGTGCCTATTTTATCTTAATTTCAAAAGAACCTTGGGAAGATGTACTCCGCAGTGGAGTAAGAACTGGGATTAACTTCCAGGCACCGAACTCTAAGGACGCCCTTTTCCGCTGTCGACTGCGTCTAATCATGGAAAGTTCAATCACCCGCGATAGAGAGTTGATCTTAACTGGAGTTTCAAAAAACAGTATTATGTTAATCCATAGGAGTTTATCTACTTATCTAAAAGTTTGGATAATTATCAATTTAATATTCCAGTTCTTGTGCTTTTCTTCCCTCATCAGAGTAGAATATAGAACCAACCGTATGTTGTTTACCTACAAGAACTTGAACATTGGATGAACGGGAAATGTAAAGTTTAAGCCAAGGTTCGAGATCTTGGTGAAGGGTTTCCGTAATTCATAGTTATGACCAACCAACTCAATAAGAATAATAAAATAAAATCAGACCCTTAGATATGCACGGAAGAGGAAGAACGGTTACTGATAGGCTACTATCAAAATCTTATCTATACAATAACCAACAGGTTTTCGTGATAAATAACCAGTATGGGAAACTTGCTCTTTGCTGATCGACTTTGTTTGCTTTTTTTTCTTTAATTCTTCTCCAGCGACTGGGCAGGGCCCTGATTTCGGAGGTGCTTGTCATCCAAGATCGCCAGGCGCACATCAAGCCCAGGCCCATGATGAAACAAACGGCAGCCATGGGTGGTGAAGAGGGGCTTTGATTACCCCAGAAAAACGCCATTGACGGTTGTACGGGTAGCAGACACCATCCATGCTACTAGTACATAGGTAC